ATATATGCATGTATATACATGCGTGCACATAAATTTTGGGACAATGATAAATAATGTACAATAATATAGATTTAAGTTAATATAATATTAATATTGAATGGATGATAGTAATATCTCTTTCTTTATATTCAATATTGCATTTAATTGCATTTATAGGTGCAACTCATAGGATTCGGCGAAAAATGATACAACCTCTTTTAAATATAAAGTTTTTATCTGAATATGTAACATGTTTTGATAATTATAGCAATCAATGTGCGGATATTTTAGAAAAGGTTGTTGATAGTCCAACGTTTGATCTTAAACCACATATAAAACAATATGCAGCTAATATATTTTTAGGTGAGAACCATTGTACGTTGTGAAAGAACATGTTATAATTCGATTTGATATTATAAATTATTGTTATCATTGAAGTTAATACGTTATACGTAACTAAACGTGAAAAATCGATACATGTCAATTTACAGAAACAATGATGGGTATTGAAGGAACGATACGAAATGAAAATGACGAGCTAATATATTGGCAAGAAATGTAAGCAGTTTTAGTACCATTATAATTAATACTCAAAGAAACCAATAATCTATAATTATTTCAGATTATTTAAAGAAACGTATAACAGAGTAACAAAACCATGGCTACAATTTGATTGGATTTTTCTTTAACTGAAAATGGAAGGCAAACGCATATCGCTAAAAGGATTGTATTAGATTTTATCTATAATGTAAACTTCAATTATAAATATTATTTACATAAATATTTAAACATACAAATGCATGTTAAATATTTGTAAAATATTTAACTTTTATCAATGTGATAAGTATTGATGCATATATCATGACCGATAATAGTAATAAAGTGCGAATTATACGGGCATAACTAATTGTTAAGCTGAAATATGATTTCCTTCAAAATTATCTCCTTAGAGAATGCTACATATATGTATTCCAGCGTTTCTTCCATCGTAACATCTCCCGAATTCAGTTTGTATTACAGCTCATCAAATGGCTGTTATGTTATGACAGTGCACCTGCGCACACGGTTAGAAAACTTTTGGCTGACGGATAAATTATTGTACTCGAATATCCTAATTTGCTTTCTGGTTTTCAAAAGAAAAATATTTTTAATATTTGTATTGTATAATTATTATTATTTATTTTATTATTATATAGTAAAAATATAAAAAATGGAGAAATCAAAAAATGTAGAAATTTAAAAATATTGATGATATTTGGTGTACCATGGGTGAAAAGTTAATAATTGTAATAATTGTAATAATAAAAGTTAGTTTGAAAAATATTATGAAGAGTAAAAAAACATCGAAATTCATATATAATATTTTAAGAAGATTATTTTAAAGGAAACGCATTGCATTCAGCTATAAAATATTTATTGAAGTTATATTGCAAATTTACTAATTTATTAATTTTAATATAAAAGTATTAATATTCTTAACTCATTTTTATTAAATTATATTCTTGTTATTAAATTATATAAAAGTAATATTATTGCAAAATCTGTGTGTAATTGCAATAATAAAAAAAATAATTTTGATATAATTAATGATAAAAGTTCTCAATGCAATACAATTAATTAGGTAATTAATTAGGTAATACATAGATATGATCAGAATAATGCATTCTTGAATGCAAGGCAAGTCATCAATTAGTAAGAAAGAAATGTGTCATTTACTGCAAGATCAAATAATAGAATATCCTCAGTCCTTGGAATTTTAAATAAAAACATATAATATAAAAATATACCGCAAAAAGATGTAATATATAATGACATTGTCTAATTGTCTTTTTGTCCATTATCTAATTGTTTTTTTATTTGCATGTTAATTTAGTCTAACGACTTAATTTAACTGCTCATTATAATGTTTTATTATATTGCATTTTCTTGTAGTATATTTTTAACTTTATATTATTGCAATGTGTTCATTTGAAATTTCAAGTACTGACATTTCATCACTCGACTTTGCAATTAACGTAAACGACATACTCTTTTCTTACTAAACTGATGGCTTGCTTTGGACTGAGAGATACATTATTCTTATCCATGTATTATTGAAGATAGCTCAAAATTAAGCCGTTTGGCCAATTTTTATACTAATAAATTTTAAAATACACATTGCACTTTTTTTATCGCGCGGATTTTCAATAATCCTATTTTCATTAATGGTATATTTTAATTATAATATTGCTATAATAAAATAAAATTGAGTCAAATATAATTAAAAATAAGTTTGTTATTTTAATAATATTTTAATAATATTAACGACAGAAATATTTATGCATTTATTTTATTAATATTATTAAATGAAACAGATTATTTTTAATTACTGAATATTATTGGCTCAATATCATTTTTTTATATACATTATGTCAACATAATTGATTGACATGCCATATTATATAATGCAGATAACATCACGAAAAGAAATGAAACATACTGCTTTGGAAAATAATAATGAAAATTTTGAAAAGCCGAAAGCTGCTTTTGATCATTATTTGAATCGTATACAACTGCATAATGTAACGAATGAATCTTGCATGGTGAGCGACGAGAACTTCATAGACGACGTTAGAAGTTTTTATGCTGCTGTAATGTCATTTATTATATAAAAACTTGAGATTATACAAATAAGAGCATATATATTATGATTGATGTATTTTTGTTTATAGATTCAAAATACTATTATGGAATCGATATCTTTCACTATGCTTATGCTGGGAATGCATACAGAAGTACAAGTTAGTAAATTTATTATAAAGTTATTATTTATTAATATATAAAAATATAATCATATATATATATATGGAAACATAATACTCTGATATAGCTATGAATTATAAAGCAATATGAAACGAGAAAAAAATATTTTATTTGTTCTGCATATTGTAAAGAATAACGCTTTTACAATATATTTTTTATTTTTTTTAATTTAGTGTTCAAGTTTTGAGTTATATTTTTTATATTAGTTTTTTATATTATATATTTCTTACATTAATTTTTACATGCAGGTACCAATATGGAAACCTGATTATCATTTTTGCATTTTATTTCCTAGGAAAAACTGCGACAGGAAATATCCTTTACATTCGGTAATGAAAAGGTTAATGCTCAAGGACTTATTAGTATGCAATATCTTCATATGGTGATCCAAGAAACATTAAGATTATTTCCTATAACGCCCACGGTTTCACGACAGCTTACAGGAGATATTAAGCTTGGTATTTTTATAACACGACATTTATTATGTCTATAAATGAAATTGGTATAAATTAATAAATTGATGTAATACTTCATCAAGTTATGAAACAGAACTTCGATAATTCCAGAATCGTGCACCTTGCCGGACGGATGTTACGTTCTGATTCCAATATTTGCTATTCATCGTAATTCTGCGTATTGGCCTAAGCCGCTGGAATTTATTCCTGAACGATTTTCATCCGAAAATTCGTCAAGCCGTCATCGTTATACATATATTCCATTTGGCACGGGCCCCAGAGATTGTATAGGTAGATATTCTAATATAAGTTATTTATTTTGAAAACGATGTAAATTGAGAGTTTTAGGAAAATTTAGTTAAAATGTTTATCATACTGCATTTTACATTTGTTAAGATATATTCATAATTGATTTTCTTTCGACGAATGTGGCTCAAAATTAAATTCTTATTATTTTTAGACTGACTAAAACGAACAACAAGTGTTTGTCATTAATCATGTGCATATTCCATTAGATATTAAGCTTAGTTCTCAATTTATTAATATTTTATTCTTATTCTCTATTTTTATACATTTTATACATTTTTATACATTTTATTTTTAGGTCAAAGATATGCATTTCTGGCCATAGCGACGATAATTACAAATCTAGTGCGACGATTTCGATTTGCAACTTCTAATAGTATAGAAGACATTAAATTAATATCTGATATTGTGCTACGAAGTCAAGATGTCAAATTAAATATATCTTATGCATGAAATATAAGTAATATATAAATAATTATAATATAAATAATTATATCAATATTAATTTTACACATGACGTTTAACTGATAACGTTTATTGTCACTAATTAATCTAATTGTAATAAATTAATATTCTTATTGTGTTAATCTTTAAATAACTAATACCATAACAATGGATATGGATATGTTCATATGTATGGATTCATACTTTAATATTAAAACAACTTTACATATTAATGTACGACATTAGCATACTATAAATATATTATATATCAATATATAATAAATTGAATAAAAATTAAAAGTTTGTATTGATTTTGTAATCAACATAACTCCTTTTTTACTTGCTTTCACGGTTATCTTCTTCAATTTAAAAATTAACAGATTTAAAATATAATCAATTATTGGAAAATTGTAATAAAATATTTTAATAATATGTGTGAAACGTACAAGTAGTTATATATATATCTATATGTACAGTAAATATATCACAGAAATATAATTTTGATTTAATATCAACTTAAAAGCCTAATGCACGTAAAAGCAGACGAGCGATTTAGTTTCAAAGATCCTAGATTTCTACTAATCCGTAATGGATTTTATCAATTCTAATTTTCCAATCTTATTATATGACGGAGCACGCGAGCACGTAGAACAAGTTACATTTCATAATTCTCTCTTGCGTGTAATCTGCTCGTTAGAGTCTGTTTGCTTTTTACTTCCAACATCCACGCGAATAAAGTACGAGCTTACGATGTATCTCGCGACTTCTTGAATGAAAAACTTTTTCTTTTTAACAATAGAGTACATTGCCTGTTGAGATTGGTAAGATAGATTAAATATATTCGTCTTGAATAAATGTTAAGCACTTAAAACATTTTATATAATTACGATACGATTTACAGAGCACAATTGGTAAATGGAGAATCACAAGTCCGCACATTCGTGAGAAAAACCTAGGAAATCTACTACCTGGAGCATGTGCTCAAAATTTTAAACGTTATACGATCGTGAGGCGATGCCTTCGGAATAGTATAATCGAAAGGAAGCATCTGTTCCAATAATGTCACGAAATTCTGACGTGTGTACTCACAAAGCGATCACAAAGCGACAAATCACATGTGATAAGGAAAAACCTTTGTAAAAAGTTACTACAAAAAAATTACATGTACATTTTAACAAGCATAAATAACTAGTAATAAATACCAAATCTATTTTATATGAGTAGATAGCAAATAATTTGAGTCTAACTTTTAATTATATTTTTTTAAATACTCGAATTTCCATAATATGACATCAATCGTATTCGTAAAAGAGCTTTGCTAATAAGGAAAAAGACAATTTAGTAAAGAGATATTTATTATGTAAATATCCGACATATTGGTGAGTATATGTGTGTGTGTGTGTGTGTGTGTGTGTGTGTGTGTGTGTGTGTGTGTGTGTGTGTGTGTGTGTGTGTGTGTGTGTGTGTGTGTGTGTGTGTGTGTGTGTGTGTGTGTGTGTGTGTGTGTGTAAACACGCATTTTTCATTTCTCTTAACTGAACATGTAGTTTTAATTGCAAAAAATAAATTGCTCGCGTAATTACGATAGCATAAAATATGTATTGCATAGGAAATGCATCTTCTTTCATGTCACGTCCCTGTCATAACGATAATTTAAACGCTTGCCGAGGCGACTCCGCGCGTAGAAGTCTAGTCATATTTTCCTCATTACGCGAAACTCGCAACTGAGTTTAAATTCAAAGGACACCCTCCAGTCGAGTGGATCAGGCGACGCCAAGTAGAAAAGCCGAATCGACGCGAACGATATCGGCGACTTCACCAAAGTGGTTAAAGAATAAAAAGGAATGGACGAGCAAGCGAGTTGAAGAGGTCATCGCCAACTTACATCGAAGAGAACATTTTCTCTTCATCGGCTCTGGACCGATTTTTACTCTGTGGCCTTTTCTCAAATACGATATATTTTGATTTAACACACCGCGAATTAATAATTTGTAATTTAAGAGTTCTATAATTCATGTGCTTTGATTACAATACAATGCATTTAACAATAAGTTTATTTAAGCTTTTCTCAGAAAATTGTATTTTTTATGCATAGAGTGTAAACATAACAAGGATCAGTTATTATTCATATCGCGAAATAAGTCTTCTTTAGCGCAATAGTGGTTTCATGAAAATCAAATTGATTAACTTGAATCCAAAGAAGTGGAAAATAAAACGAATTTACGGTTAATAAAACAACAGCAAATTAAAGTCTGATTTTCTAAAAAGATTTAATTAGTCTTCGAACTACAAGTAATTAATACTATAAGCAAAACTTATTTATACTTGAAGAAGTTTATTTTAAAAAGCATATAATTGGAATACTTTTTTAACATTTTCCAAATAAAAAGATGTATTAATCTTAGAAGAAAGCTTCACTTGCATCAAAAACAAAACTGACTGGATGGCAACTTTGGAGATGTGGCGTAAGCTTTTATTCGCTGATTACGACCGAGATTTTTTTCAGTGTGTCGCTGTAGGACTCTGAAAATTCTTCCACGCAACGCACGTAGCGTCCGTTCGACAGAGTTGAAAGGGAGGACAGGTTGAAGAGAGGAGGGAAAAATTATGAACAACGGCACTGGATCCGCTGGACGCGCCGCTATAACTTAGAGCAAAAGGCAGTAGTTAGCAGCAGCAGCAGCAGCAGCAGTATTTCCCTGTCACTGGCAGTAACCCATATGCTCTGTCCATAAAGGGTATACGTGTATAAAGCCGCCATGAGCACTGGACGCGACGGACACGTGCGTCAGGGCGGATGCGTTCTCCCGAATCATGTGCGGACGTCCGATATTCATCGGATACTATCGGTCGGAGATAGCCGACGCATCGCAAATGACGAAAGGTTGATTAGTTGGATTATTGCCACTAGATTATATATACGAGCATCGATACTCACTGAGAACCCCCCCGCGGTCGTGGGAACCCGCGTCGCGATATCGACACGCCCGCATGGACACTGCAATCGACGATTAATTTCTGCGCGGCATAAATCGATATCGATTTGTGCGCGACGTTTCGTTATTACAACTCGCGACTCTATCGCGATTTGTGGCGAATAATATCCGGATTTTTGTACGCGAGTTATTTCCTCGGAACAAACGCGTCGTCGCCATACATTTTCCGTCGTCGTTGCGCTTTCGTGCGCCATTATATGGTATTTCGCAAATACAAAGCTATAGAGCAGAGTGAGTAAACTTTGGTGGTGGACGCCGACACTCTCGCGCTTTGCTCGTTATGCTGACGTTGGAAAAGCGTATTTCTCGCGGAAAACGAACATCGTCCACGCGTTCCAGCCGAGCAATCGAAGGTGGTGACGCATCGGATCCCGTTTTCGACGAAGGCATTAATAACAGACTCTCGTGTACATCAAAGCATTCGACAACACAGATATTTTCCAGCGACAAAATGGACGGTCATCGGAACCAGATAATTTATCTATCCGGCGCGTCCGCGTCGTATTGATGTCAAAAAAACAATTTTCGCGGCAAATGAGTTTTCGATGGATGCAAAATGAGAGAGGAAAAAGATACGATTGCGGTATCGCATCGTTTCAGGATAGAACCGTGGAGCCGACCGCAATCTGGCATGCGCGATGTACGGAAGCTTGCAATTTTTCAGCTTCATACCTTCCGAGTATTTTAGACGTTTGTCTATTTTAATTTATTTTTTTTATCGCAAATTAACGATAAATAATTAACTTAAATTACATTATATATTTAATTATGAATATTAAGCGTACATAGCTCGATGTTTGTATTTGTCAAGATCGTCAATAACGAAATAAATTATCCATAAACAAAAATATGCTATAATAGCTATTTCTCAATGAATACGTTTGCGGTTTTCACACTCAATTTCAGTCAGACAGAATCAAATAGAATTTTGCGTATTTGCACGCCAAATACCTACTCTCTGACTCGTTAATTAGATACGGGAGCGTTAAAAATATCATTTGCCTTGATAATTTGAGGTTTGCGCTTGACATGTGCGACAAACAATGCGTACATATATCGGGATTCGGTGTTACAATTCGTAACTATACCGCGGTCACCGCAAATAAATTACGAATTGGTAATTAATCGATCGATCGGTCCGTAGCCAATTTCTGCAACGTAATGCAATAAAATTGTTTCATATTTTTCCAATCGATATTTTATTCGTTGAATATGATATAATCGAAAAAGTGCCATATAATTAAATTTTAAAAAAATTTGATAATCTTTATCTTAAAAATTGATTATTCACACATACACACTTGAAAAAGATATTCTATTTAGGAAATGTTCTTTTTAACTGTATTAAAAAGAAGATTATATTATTCATCAAATAATTTATCAAAATTGAATTAGAAATTCGTAAATACACAATAAAATGCTAATTATTTAAAAGAGATCAACGATTTTACATCAATGATTAATGATATTAACAAGAATAATTAATTTCTTTTAGCCAAATATACTCTTACATTAAATTTTAATTAAATAATTCAAGATAATAAAGTTAATATTATTAATTGTACAAATTATTATAATTGATATTATTGATTGTGGTATTATCTTTATTTTAAGAATGAAAAAAGAAAGAAAAATAATTTATTTCTATATTTGGATATGTTTCTATAAAATATTTTATTATAATTATTCTTACGATTAAACAATCTATTTTAAAAGAAATTGTTAGTATAATTTTTTATTGATTTAATAAATATTCCGTCTTTGTTTGTTCAATCAGAGATGGCAGCACTTCTGGCAATAGTTTGAAAAAATACTTAACATTTTGTTAAATATAACTTTAAATATGATTATATGAGAATAATTAAATTGCACTGATAATTTAGACATATTATATATACCTTAATTAATATAATATAAATTCCTTTATAGGTCATATTTATTTACAGCTATATATTTCATACTACATATAATCAGTCGATAAATTTAATCTCTTTAATGGAAAAGCTGAGGCTCAAGTGTGTCCTTGATAAATTGAAGTAAAATATAAATTTAGGTTTTGATATTATAAACATTTGCATTTAATATACGAGTTTTTAACTTTAAACTTTCCTATGGTTGGTACATACACAGCAGTGTCCGACTGAACTGTTTATCGAACTGGGGTAAATCTTAGGTAATTTTATATGTTAAAAAATTAATCAAAATACAATAATTTAGATTTGGATAAATTAGTTTGATAAAATAAACTTAACTTAATTTTCGATATACAAAATAATTTTATAGGAATATATTTTTTATTATTTATTATTCAATAAAATATATCTTTACATATTGTCGACAATATATCTCCAAAGATAAAAAAAATTGTGTTTTCCTAATATTCCATTTGTTGATAATTCAGTGATAAA